CTACTGCCAAGACTCTGCACTTTGAGCTCAAGTACAACTGAAAATAGAGATTCAGTCCAGCTTCATCCCATCATGTCCAGTCTACTGAAAAAGGACATTAGCCAAAAAAAGAATAGCATAAAAACAAAGACAAGAAACAATTTACAGAATGAAAGCTGCTTTAGTTGCTCAACACACATCTTCATAATCAATGGGTTTTTAAGACAGGAACATGTGAGCTAATTATTAACTCTTTAGTGCCAACATGCTGAGTCACTGGTGACCAGTCTGAGGAATAAACCAAACTGCCTCATGCAGGACTCAGGCAGACAAACTAACCACAGGTAGAAACCAGAGGAAGTCTCTGATATATGAAAAAACATTGCTTATCTCCTCCTTTTTGACTTACAGACTGAAATATCTTCAAGCACCTCTTTTGAGGTTTGTTACAACACATAAAGCTGAAAACCATTTGAGTGCCGGCATGTTTAGTAACACCATCCAGCAGCCGAGCAGGAGGAGACAAAAGAACATTTAGCCCGGCTTGTCTCTGTCCCACTCTGGGCTCAGCTGGATTCCAGGCTTCACAGAAACCAGAGGAAATGGTCCTGTTCCCAAACACAAACTATTTCCTTCCCCCAGTGACCTGCTCCATGGTAGCCCCGCTCTCACTTCCGGCCAGTTCAACAGCTAGTCACACGGATCAGCCAGCCTAGCACATGGGACCTTTTCAGATTGTGTTATCTTGTTAACGTCAACGTGCACCAAATCAACAAAAACACACAAAGATTAAACCAGGATGCTAACAACCATTCCACTGTTTGGGTATATGCATGTATGTATATATTTCAGCAAAGTTATAATTATTATTATGATATACACATTAAGGCTGCAACAACAAATCGATAAAATCGATTATTAAAAGCGTTGGCAACGAATTTCATTATCGATTCATTGTGTTGCGCGATTTATGAGTCTCTCACCATGTCGGAGCCGTTTACGTCACCCGCAGAGCGTTGTCAATGCTGGCTGACCTAAATAAAGTTTAGGAAGAAAAAAAAACTCTACCTGTAAAGATCTGCCCTCTGAGACCCTCGAGTTAAAAGTAGACTTTGAACTTTAAAACTGTTTTTAAATTGTGTTGTTAGGCCAAGTCCAAAGTTATGATAAAAAGTATAAGTTACATTTAATTTTTTTAAACGATGGTCTGATTTGATGCGAGCCGTGTTGCGAGGAGGAAGCACGTCCTATGGGGGGACAAAAATAAATAAAAATAAAAACCTCCTTTTCTCGGGCCAGAAATGTAAAACCCTCCCGTATTTTTTTCTGACCGAGGCTCAAAGTTACTTGTTGAGCAGCAAAAACATTCAGGATGAAGGAATAAAATTACAAAAGATGCGAGCAGAACTCCTGCTCTGACT